ACAGCACGTAGCACACTTCACAAAGAAAACCCATACAGCCTAGAGTGCATTTGGAAAGAAACTAATAGAATTCACAAACCTCAGGCAAGACTGATCAAGAGAGAAAAAAGTGCAAAATAAAAATAAGTAAAAATAGAGCAAATGGGGGGATTCTGGTGAAATGTGCACTGACCACATGCGTGTGTAGTCCCTTCCTCCTGAAACTCCACGAAAGTGAAGGAAAACGCTATAAACCCACAGGACAAAAAGCAAGAGAGGCAAGGACATCAGACAAAAGCTGTCAGTCAAATTTTGCAGGATGGAAAGTAGCTGAAGAGGTAGAAGCAGCCCCATGGAATTGAGTAGGATAAACCCTGCCTCCCAGCAGGAGAAGGGCCCACAGGACACAAGGTGAACACAAAGACCCGGAAACCGAGGCAGCAGTTCCACAGAGGCTAGTGCAGTGAGTGAGTGGCCTTTTCCGAAGTGCCCGCATAGGTCAGTGCCCGGCCCACATGCTCTTCTGACAATGTAACAGGAAACAGGCCCCTGTTGAGAACTGGGCTCATGCCTCTTCCTCTTGAACCTGGGCAGACTTTTGTAAGTGCAGAATGGGGTGAATGAGGTATTGATTTTAAGTGATAAGTCGTAAAGGGCAATACAGCATCCACCCAGCCGTCCCAGGGACACCTGCCCTTGGAGGCCAGCCCGCATGTCATGAGGAAGGCCAGGCACCTAAAGATGTCACATGCAAGTGTCCAAGCAGTCAGCCCCTTACCCGCAGCCTTCCAGCTGAGGCCACGGACAGTCTGGTCTCGCCCACTGACAGTCAACAAGCACCTCATGGACAGAGCTCCCAAAAGCTCCTCAAGCCTCGCTCTTCAAAAGGAGCAGACAGGCTATGAGCAAACATTTGAGTGCATCCTCTAATAAGAAAGAGACCAAAATTTACAGCAGAAGACTAGGCCAGGAACATAAGAGAGCCCTCAAAGGATATTTGTAGCTTTTTTGGTGGTGTTCAAGAGGGGGAGTTAAAAGAAATCCAAGGACAGGATGCTAAAAGACACTTGGCACAAAAAAGTAATCTCTTCAAAATTCAAAACGAGGATGGTAAAATTTTAAATTTCACTAAAAACTTTGGAAGGTAATATTAAAGAGTTCTCCCATAAAATAGAAACAAAAATTCCAATATCAAGAAATTTTAAATAAAAATGTTAAGGTTTGACCCAGGAGTTACACCATCCAATTAAAAATAATTATAGAAAGAAAAAAACAGAGTGGACAAACTTCCTTTAAACAGCGCTACTGAACTGAAAGAAAAGTTTCCACATTGAAAAGTCCCAATGAAGGAAAAAAAAGAGACACAGAATTCTAGAACACTAGGATAAAGAGACACTCCTAACAACTTCCAAAGAACAAAAGGTCACAGACACAAGATAGGTATCAGAATGGCGTGACACTTCTCAACAGCAAGACCAAAACCTAGGGCTCAATATGATAATGATGACTTCAAACACTGAAATGTCTCACCTAGAATTCCCTACCCTAGCCAAAATATTCGCCCAGCCTTTGGCTATGAAAAGGCGTTTTCAGGCATGCCAGGTCACCCTTGCCCCCCTAGGCTTACAGAGGATGCCCCACGAGGAAGGGGCCAGCCATGCAGAGGGAGATGAGGTTTACTAAACTGGTGAGTAAATGAGCATCAGGCAAACAGTGAAGGGGGGCCCACAGTGACAGCTGTGTCAGGTCTGGAGAGCATTAAGTCCAAACTGAAAGAAGAGAATACCGGGCTCCAAAAAAATGTCTAAGGAAAAACATTAAATGAGTAGGACGACTGATGTGTCTAGCATATGACAAGCTTTACAGTATTAACAGACTAGTTCAGGCTGAATTAGTGATGGAAGCATATATAAATAATAATAAACAAAAAGATGAAGCAATGATTAACTTCAGGAAAAACAAATAATAACAAAGACAAGGTCATTAGAATGTACTACATGGCTCACATGCAATAATATTTACGTAGCCACGATAACTCAAACACAGAAGAGTGCTTAAGTGAAGTAGTCTGAAGTTATAATAATACTGTGGGACACAGTGGGTACCAATGCATCTCTGGGGGTGGGGATGACAGAGCGAAGATCTGAGCTAAATCATCTCCCATAGTGAGAAGTCAATGTATAATGTTTAAAATACAAAAGCCAGCAGAGAGTTCTCAATGAGAAGAGGGTGGCCAATGCTGAAAGCAAAGCTAGAAAGAAGCTGGAAAAAGCACCCAGGCAAGGGTGAGGCACACTTGGGATTACTTCATGTAAAGCGTGTTTTTTTAATTATGCATATGTACAACTTTGCTAAAAAAATAAAATTTAATTTAAAAAGACATATGAAGAAAGGAAATGGAAACAGTCTAGACCACTCTTCAAAGCATGTTGGCTGGGATCCCAGTGAACAAACACCCCCACCCCACACAGAAAACTTCCAACCTCTTGTTCGTCTCCATCTCTTAAATGAAAAGCCAAGGATTAAGACATTTGATAAAATTCTCTAACATGAAATACAAACATGATGACAAACAAAAAGAAACAAAAGTGATGTGTGTGGGGGAGGGGAACAGAGACTATGCCGAAGAAACAAGGAAGAAAATGAACAAAAAAAGTTTTAGTAATATCCTCAGCAACAGAAGATACTATATGCATGAATCAAGAATAGAATTCTATTTAAGAAAAGAAAAAAGAAAAAGAAAAAATAGGAGGGAGGGAGTGAGGGAAGCAAGGAGGAAAGGAAGAAAGGAAAAAGGAAGGTGCAGGAAACAAGAGGTCTGAATTAAACAACAAATAGCAGCCCACAAATGACAAATGTAATGGAAGAGTTGGAGGATAAGGTTGAGAATATCACCCAGGAAAATAGAAGAAAAACACACGTGGAAACTGGGAATGGGGGGGATTAGAAAATTAGAGAATAAATTCAAGAAGTCTAACATCCAACTAAGGAGTTCAGAAAGAAAGGAACAGAAAACGAGAAAATAATTTAGGGAAACTTCCCAGAATTACAAAACAGTACTTTGACTACAAGGACCCACCAAGGACATGGAGGAAAACAGACATAGAGCAAGGAAAAACTCCAGAACACAAAAGACAAAGAGAAGACCCTAAAAGTTTTCAAGGGGGAACATGTTATCTACAAAAGATAAGAATCAGAATGGCGGGGACTGTGACAGCAACATTGGAAGTTGCACCACCATCCATCCAGCCTCCAGACTTTAGAGACAGTCACCCCCACCCTGGAATCCATGCCCAGCCACAAACCCTGAATGGAGACTGGAGAATAAAGCTGTCTTTTGACAAGCAATTTCTCAGAAAATTAACCTCTCATACTGGAAGGTAAGCTCCACTAGGAGGTGGTAAACCAAGACAGAAGATGACGCAAGCCCCACCACAGAGGCTCCTACTTAAGAGTCCCTGGGATGTGGCCAAGGGCCCTCCCAAGACGCAACCAGGAGCAGCTCCCAGGCCAGCTGCAAGTGGGTCAGAGCCCTGGGAGAGACGTCGCAAGATGCCAAAAGTGATAGTGAACCTGATGTGTTGGTTGCGTTATGAAAGAAAGAAAAGGGAATCGTGGGAAACAGCACAGCGTGGTTCTGAGCAACATTTGTGCAGGCACAAAACTGTAACATTAACTGTGATGGTGACAACCTCCATGATGGCCCTGTGCATGTGTTAGGACCATGGTAAAAAAAAAAAAAAAAAGCTAATCGACATTGTTAAAAACTGAGTAAGTCAAGAAATGTCCATAAACGCCATGTTACTTGGACAAACAGAAATAAACAGCAGAGGGAAAAGCAGGGGAGCTGGAAGTGGTGACTAGGAACAGGCAGCTGGGCGTGTGTGGCCGGGAGCAGCTCCGTCTTTGTAATATGCCATATAGAACTACTGGTCTGTGTGTGGATATGCTTCAGCAGAGACAAGAACTAAATGTTTTATAGAAACGCAAGAGTGCTCATTCACCCCACCAGACACAGGCTGGGACAGGCAGGAGCAAAGGGCCACAGCTGGGAGTGCTGACAGCAGAAAGCACCCTGTCTTCTCCCTGATGCCTAACCCAAAATACAAGCAGAAGCAGAGAAGAGATAACTGACCTTAGCCACAGGAGGGATTCAGTGTCTCTAAGGAAATCAAACTAATCATGAACTCGGGCAAACTCAGGCACATCCATACTACAATGCTATCTTTAAAAACTGCATTTCTACACACACCGAAATAATTGACAGCTCTCTGCAAACAATGAAAGGGAAGAGTGAGGAAGAGAAAAGCCCATTCAGTCTGATGAAGTACAGCTCTCAGTTTGGCGGGTAGATCAGTGCGCACAGGAATAAACTGGAAGGCCTGTTCCTGGACCCGCTCCACCTTCTGTTACTCTAGTTTCCTGCAGTGATCACTAAAGCTAGGAATCTGTTTCCAGACAGTCAGGAATCTGGAATCTGTGGGAATTCACAAGTAATTTGAGGCTAGAGAGGCAGCTGTGGTACACACGCAGAGGATAGCATATCAGAGCAAAGTGGCCTGGCTCGCACTAAATGGCCTCCCCTCCTCTGCCTCTCAGGTCTGATGAGAGTCTGATTACCACTTACAGGGTGTGAACAAAGTCACTGATCACTTATGCTGAGCATTTATTTCTTCATCTCTAAGATAAAAATAATGGTTTGCCCTCTTAGAACTGTTTTGAACATCAAATGAGAAAACACATATTCTAAGATCAGTGCTTGGATGTGTAATAAGCTCTCAGTGAATTTTGGTTATTTTTCTCATTAGTCTTTTTGAAATCAGGTGACCCCCTGGTGTTGTCTGGCCAATGGTAGAGGGTGGCAGGAAGGAGCCACTGGCCACCCCAGGCTGTATCCGAGGCTTTAAACTTGGCCCTTGGCACCAGTGACCACCGACCTGCCTCACGTGCTCATACCCCAGCTCTGCAACCCTCGGGGCAGGAAAGGAGTAGGGCCACGCGATACAGCAGAGGCCCAGCACCCGCGAGCCATTTTCCAGCCGCTGCTCCTCCTGCACACAACGGCAGCACGAGGGTGCGCGCCTTCTGACGAGTGGGTGGGCAAGAAGCAGAGGGGACCCAGCACGGACAAGGGAACCCGCCAGCCGGAGTTACGCAACGGTCTGCGACAACAATGCAAAAACTCCAGGGACAGCGCTGAGGCCCCGTCCACAAAGAAAACAAGGGCGGCATTCACCCGACAGAAAGCTCAGCTCGGTGGTTCTCCTTTGAAAATCTGATGAAAGCTGGGCTCCTCTCATAGAAAAATGGGCGCTTAGAAGTAAACAGACAGGGTCAGTGGTTCACCAAGGCCACCTGGTCCCTCGCGTGAAGACCCGGACATCGCCCACGGCACTTCAATTGAGTTCACAGCTGACTCAACAACACAGAGCCACCTAATCACGGAGATAACTAAGGGCGGGAAGGCCGAGTCTGGCTGACACTCTCCTTCTTTTGTCAGATTAGCCAACCAGGAAAAAAAATAAAGCAAGCAGAGCTGCGAGAAACAGAGCGGGCAGGTCAGATGCCACGCGCAAATCCAGTCCTCCGAGCAGCCCCCTCCTGGGCCCAGTACCTGGCAGAGACGTGTCCTCCGTGTCGCCGGCCTCCGCGTCGCCGGCCTCCGTGTCGCCGGCCGGCTCCTCCGGGGCCCCGCGCGCCATCCGTTCCTGCCCCTGCCGCGCCCCGAGCTCCGCGGGCGGCGGCGGCGGCGGCGAGTCCCGGGCGCACTGTGGCGCGGGGCTCCCAGCGCCCGACGACGCCGACGACGCCGAGTCGTCCGAGGCTCCGGCCGGACCCCAGTCGTCCCAGAGCCAGGGCGCGTGCGCCTGCTCCAGCAGCCGGCGGCCCAGGCGGTAGTGCAGCAACTCGCGGTAGCACGGCGCGTACTCGTCCCAGCGCGGCTCCCGGTAGCGCTTCATGTACTCGCTCTTCACCCCGCTGCCCGGGGACATGGTGCCGCGCGCCCCAGTGCACGCCGCTCCGCGCCACCGCCGCCTACGGGATCCACACACTACACAGCAGCCCGCCCCAACCCTCCGGCAGCGACATTTAAATCCGGAGCACCTCCCGCACTGGGCAGGCGGGGGCGGGGCGCGGAGAGGCGGAGGGTGGGGCGAGAGAGCCGGCGCGGGGACAGGGAGCGGGGGCGGGGTGCGGAGAGGCGGAGGGCGGGGCGAGAGAGCGCGGTCAGCCGTGGAAAAGGGCGGGGTCCTGGGGGACCCTGCCGCGAAGCGTCTCACCTTGTGACCGAGTCCTGAGAGCCCTGGCTGGGTCCTAGGCGGGCGGCTCCCGGGAGGAGAGCGGAGCGGCCCGGGCTGTGGTGGTAGCGGTCCCCTCGGAGGGTGGTTTCGGAGCTCGGAAGCCTGAGGCTGCGGGCTGGGTGAGGGGGCTGCGGGAGGCCGGGGCGGTGCCGAGGCAGAGCTGGGGAAGCCCGGAATGCAGGATGGCCACCGGGTTCTCCGAGCTGTCTCCCGGGAGTGGCGGCCCGCGACCTACCGCCTTCCTGCCGCGGCGGCCGGGCCTCAGCGCGCGTTGCGCGGCAGCCAGGAACGGCCCGCTGTCCCCCGCTCTTTCCTTCTGAGCAAGATGTCGCCAACGGCGCGGCTGCCCGTGTTCCTGCAGCAGCCGGCAGGCGAAGGCGCCGCCTCAGTCCCCGGAGCGGACGCCTCCCCTGCGCGCTCCCGGCCTGGACTCCGTGGGGGCGGCTGCTTCAGTGCAGAGAGCGGGGCGCGGGGATGCAGGCGGGCGGGCCAGCCCCCGGGAACAAGCCCAGGTCCCCGGACCCCATCTCAGCAGTCGCTGCCCCAGGCGTCCACCACCGCAGGAGGCGTCACTTAGGGCCTAGAGTTGCTCCCCGATCGGGTAAACCATGCAGCCCCCCAGCCAGCGACCCTATTCCCTTCCTGACACGTGCGCTTGGCCGCGTTTCCCGGTAACAACCCCAGTGCACGCACTGGCTCTTCTTGCTTCCATCCTCTCTGTGTTCACACCTGTTACTCTGGCTCCTTGTCTACACCCCAAACACTTTAAAACTATTTATTAAAACCGCCATCCCACCCTCTCAGAGACCCATTTACACGTGAAGCCTTGACATTGGCGTTGTGCGGGAGTATACAATGTTGCCCATTTGTTACATTTTCCAAAGTGGCCTCTCACAGATTCTTCCCCTATTTGTAAAAGGAGCCTTGATACATTAGTTACAAAAAAAGATTTGAGGGAAACAAAGTCTTAGAAAACCAAAACATTTAGCAGTTGAAAAGCAGGCCTAGGGCATCAGTGAGAGGCCCGGTCCAGCTTCCATATTGGGACCTCCACGGCTTCACCATTTTCGATTGTCTCCGTGTCCTATCCCCACCCCCATCACACGTAAATGATCCAGAGGTAGACACTGCCCAGTGGGACCAGTCACACTTTCCAGAAGTCATTTAGCACTGGATTGCTAACAGCAGTTTGCTGGAGAGACACTTGGTGACCCCTCGGCTGTTGACTTGTGGCCCTGACTTCTCCCCTCCCCAACTTTTCTTTCTGTTCCTTGAGGTATCTCCCTGCCCAGCCCGGAACTTTCTCAAGCATTTCTCTTTTGTTTAAGCTGCCCAGGGTTGGTTTCTGATGGTTGCAACCAAAAAAACCTTAATATATTAACAATGTGGG